ATAGTTAATGAAAACTAAAAAGGATTTCTTTTGGAAATCTAAAATAGTTCAGCTGAACGGGTTTTAAGTCGACGATAGAGTTCTGATCACCTCGTTCAGTTTCGAATTCTAAACAGAGTTCATGAGTCGCTCGTGCAGTTCTGCTTGAAAAGAAATTCTTTAATTTTTGCTCTCTCATGGTCGCGGATCATGCAAAAAATGGGATTCGAGCTCCGGAAGACTTTACAGGCTTCATCTAGTGCGATTCTGTATGTAGATACTTCAAACAAAAGTCCTCGGCTCCCTATTATCGAGGGAAGCACAACCACATAACGGATGATTTTGGATGCACACTCCATCCGGATGCACATGCCATCATTGTTCGGAACTTCACGGCAAATTCGTACAGCTCCTCCCGAGCCCACTTCACTACTCCCTGACAGTTTTGATGACCAGATCTTTCGGAGTTTGTGTTGATTTTTACCGCAGAGAGTGTTCTTCACTGAGATAACCTGCTGTGCATTAAGATTATTATTGTCATTTTTGTTATTGAAGATGTTATTATCACATGACTCTGTATATAATTTGAAATAGGAATCTATAAATAAATATGAAACGAAACTCTATGAATACTATCTATCATAAAATGAAAATAATTGTTTATACACTACTCAAAAAAAACAAGTTCAATACTCTTTTGAGTACTCTTTTAGTCTACTTTATTTTACTATTTGAAAAAAGTCCTGAATTATCCCAAACTCAGATAACACACATCAAAATTGAAAACTAACGTTACGTTGTAAGAATTGGGGTAAGCTAATCTCGTACCGAAAAATGTTATTTGGGAAACTTATGATGTACTGTTTGGAACCTTTGGTGTAGTAATGAATATTACTGTAAAATAGTTTTATCTTCCTCTTGAAGATGATCACTTGGTGATCGAAACACGTGTCGGGGTGTAAAAATAACGATTTGGTGTTGGGAAAGATAAAACTGTAAAATAGTTTTATCTTCCTCTTGAAGATGATCACTTGGTGATCGAAACACGTGTCGAGGTGTAAAAATAACGATTTGGTGTTGGGAAAAAACTCCAGTAATATTCANAAGAGAAACAAGAAATCTATATTAGTGCTGAAGAAGATGATATATGGGTAAGAATTTTTGATTTTCCTCCGGAACTTAAAAATTCCAAGTTGATAGAGTATTTTGGTAAATACGGAATAGTTAAAACAATAAGAAATGAAATGTGGTCAGGCCAAGATCTTTATCCGGTAGAAAGTGGTGTTAGGTCTATGTTGATTTCAATGAAGAAGAAGATACCTTCCTATGTCACTATCGAGGGAACAACATCTCTGGTTACATATAAAAATCAAGAAAAAACATGTATGATATGTGATAAACCTGGTCACGAAAGAAGAACATGCCCTTCAAAACCAAGCAACAGAGTTATGGCAATCAGAAGACCTAATGCACTGGTAATGCCAGCTTTACATAACTTACAAGGAACATCCTACGTTGACGTAACACAGGATAAACCAAACAGAGAAACCACAGACCAAATCTTTGTCCATAACCTGGAAGATCTGATTGATCAAGCTGGAATTTATAACAATCAAATACTGAATGTACAAGAATAATATTTTGAACCACCTCATTCCTTGCCGGAAGTTTTCGTTCACAACCCTGAACAAAAACCACAAGAGGGAAAGACTATCCATACAACTTCAGTGCCTCAAGAAGAAGCCACTCCAAGAAATGATAAACAGGAAAAAAAAAGCGGAAAAGAAGAGAAAGAAAAAGGCTAAAATAAAGTTCGGAAGAAGAAGAAAGAAAAGTCCCTAAGTTACATATAAATCTGAGAAGCAACACCTCACAAAACATTAACGAATATGAAATAGATGAGGAAGAGAAATCTCCAGGGAGCGACGCTGATATGTTTTAGAACTTTTTATTGAACCTTTCTTACTACTATTTGTTTTTATTTTAGTCCATAAAAATAGCTACAAATGTACTTACTCTTCTTTCGGCTAACTGAAATGGTCTTAAAAATCCATTCAAACAAGGATTACTTTCTGAATTTATCAGAAAGCATGATATTGATATTATTTTTGTACAAGAATTGACCATAGATTTTTTGAAACTCTCTCCTGGGTATACCATGATATGCAACATAGGTGAAGCAAAACGCGGTACGGAAATTATACACAGATGTGGCTATGACATAAAGGATATACTTTTTGGGAAAGAAAGTTTTTGGCTTTCTACTACTCCATCTGATACAAAAAAAATGGATGAGAGAATCTTCCAAAGAAAGGAAGGAAGTAATAAGGATATACTTTGTTCTCAAGACGGTAGAATAGTATCGGTAACTATCGAAAATATTCGCTACGTTAATATTTATGCACCTTCAGGTAGTCAAAACTATCGCTCGAGAAATAAGTTTTTCCAAAATGATTTGTTTCTACACTTCAACTTCAATTTGCCTGCCATTTTAGTAGGAGATTTCAACTGTGTAATACAGCAAAGTGACTCTAAAAATATATTGCCTGCCTCCTGTGATTCAGTGATTCACATTCGCATAAGATGTGTAGAGCTGTTTCTATCCCTTCGTTGCAAAATCTGCAGCTGAGGTCTCCGTTGTACATCCCCATTTTATTCAGGTGTCCTCTCAGCGGACAATGACCGGTTAGTAACCTTGTAATTATTCTGAGCCGATCCCTACTACAGTAGGAAGTAGTTCTTCGGTTCTTTTCTCGGACGGTTCCCTAATGAAGGTTTTACTGTGTTTGTTGCCAGGTACTTTTGTCCAGTACTCTGTGTGCTTCTTATTGGTCCGTGTCCTAATCTGATTTCGTACCAATGATTTTGGTACCCCCAGAGCTGGTTCAGGACCTATATATGAAGTTGATGTTCCGGGTCTATCGCATTCATCAGCTTTATCATTACCTGTGATTCCTGAACAGCCCTGGCACCGAGTACAAAGTACGTGATTTTTTCTTGAAAAGTTATTTTAAAGTTATTGGGTTTTGTAGGTAGATACCAAACGATTCGAAAGTTTCAACACAAAATTTTTTTCATTCATCTGAAAAAACGTTCTCAGGAAGTTTACTCCAACTGAAAGAGTTTTTAAACAGTGATGTTCGAGATGTACATACCGAGTTGAAACTCAAAACGATGAGCAGTCACAGTCCAGTGTGTATTTCTGATATATCTGGAATCAAATGTGCCAAGTGTCATGAACACTTCCCGTGAAAGTATCTATAGAACAGAGACAAATCTCCAACCTTTCTTCGATGTTCCAGACTATCAAAGTTGCAAGTGATATTCGCGTCTCCAATCAGGCAGATGGCTCTTTTCTGGATGGAATCCAGCAGTTTCGGGGTATGCTTAGGGGCGGAGCTCCATACTTGAGAACAATACTCTAAAGAAGGTATGATTTTAGCTTTATAAAGCATCAAAAGTTGCTGAGGTGTGTACAGTTTTCTGGGTCGGAACAGTGTTTCAAGCTTTTGAGAAAGAGACTTTGCAATTTCCGCGACATCATTGTGTTAAGACATTTTGGTGTCTATTTTAATCCCCAACAAACTTATCGAAGCAGAAAGCGGAATTGTCTGACCTGACATTATATCCGGTTCGGAAACCTGGTTACTTTCACCCCAATTCGAAATCACTTCTAGATCCTCAACCTTCTGCTGCAGGTGAGGATGTGCCTCCGTAGCCGATGTCCTGGAATCCAAATGAAATGACGAGACAAGTGTGGTGTCGTCAACAAAGCATTATATTGTATTGGATATTTTCAACGTTGAACTTTTTCAGCAGAAATTTTAAAAAGGAAATTTCAGAATAGAATAAATGGGAGATCTTTTGATGATCAACCTTTTCGAAAATATGAAAAAGAGATTTTTATGACAGTTTTTTCAGGATACTCAATGGTCTTAACGCAAGGACTGTTATTGAAAACAAAAGAGTCATAAAAATGATTGAAAACTCACTTAAAGAAATTTTCTACAAAAAAGTACTCTTTAATCGGGTCTAGGATTCTTTCAAAATTACAACGTGAAATCTACAAAATAATGTTTCCTTTAGAAAACGATAATGAAAATGTTTTCAAATATTGAATCCTTTAGCATCGAAGTCAAATAACTGTTCAACAATGAATTTTCTACTCGAATCAAGTTTTAGACACAACATTCCAAAAAATCTTGCCAAGAAATGGATTGGTGCCAAATTCTTGCCAAGTAGCATTTTTTGTACAAGGACCGATATATCTAACAATTTTGTCTGCAGAGAAACATCAATGTTAATATTTTATGTTACCATTCAAATTGAGTGAGTGCTTCAATTTGAATGAGTGCCCACCGTATTGTGTACGAGGCATTAATTATTGATTGTTAAACCATCAATTCTTGAGCACCAGTCACTAAACAATTTTGACATGTCATACTCATTACTTACTTTGAGGAAAAAGTAGAAAATATGCTGATTTTTACTTTCAATATGCTTTATTTGGGTCATTTTTATTCTCTATTACTAGTATCACTACCTTATAGAATATATCTACCACCTTTTGTTCATCTTCTTATTTTGACCTGATATGAATTTTTCAATCGAGACACTTCTTTGAGGTTTTATTTTCAAAAGCCATATGTTATGAGCCGCTTTTTTTTAAGTTTTGAATGGAACTGGTGAAAGTTACCACTTGAACAAATAGTTTATTAAATGATTATGTATCAATTCTATAAGTTTTTCGTGTTTCATTTCATCCATTTCGATTTTCACTTGATTGTTTATCCCAATCTATTTATTAACATTTTATTTCAATGTTATTTCTTCAGTTAAAACCTTTCTAGCAAGCATTCTCTCGAGGTTTGAGCACAGGAAAAAGTTGCTGTTCTTCACCACATTTCTTTTTCAATAATGAGTTATTGAGTTTCAATTCAGTCGGTGATTCAATAAACAAATATTTTTCAATGTCATGCCGGTGCCCTTGACTATACATATAAGTGATAAAAAACTTTATGTCTACTTTAGTTGACACGCCAAATATATCGTCATGCAGTTCTCCACAAACAGGTTGATTATTTATTCATAAAAACGCTTCAGTTGGTGTCGTTTGTGTTTAACCATTTAATAACATTTTGTTAGAGGGTGTACTATTATTTTTAGGTAAGTTTTTTTAAGATCTTACGCAGATGAGTAGCAGAGGCGAACTTTTTTCTTATAATGTTATGAACAGTCAAAGCGAATAGACCTGTGAGTGTGTGCTCCGCAAGCGACTGTATTTAAAACGCATAAATCTTAGTAATTAGTGTGAAACAACAAAGTTGGGAACAAAAGCTGTACCACTTCTATTGATTGAATATTTAGTATGGCCCTCAACCAGAAGAACTTCCAAAAGTTAGTCAGACACTATGAAGGCGATAATGTCGGATCAAACCTTTATGGAGTCATTCTTACCGATCACTTAAATGTCAAAGTGAATGAAATAATGTCGAAACATCAAGAGAAGATAGAATATTATGAACTCAAGATGAACACTTCAGAGTGGAAATGAAAATCTTCAATCTCATTTAGATAAGCACGATAGTTCTAGAGAAGAAAATGTGTACGTATATTTGGCATTCAAGAATGTGAAGATGAGAATACGGATGATCTAATATATAATCTGATAAACAAAACCATGAAATTGATAATTAATATATCAGCTAGCACTGAATAGTGTTATCGAGTTAGTCGTCCGATTATAAATAAACCAAATGGGGAAAGAAAAAGAAACCAAACAAAACCTCGAGCGATACTCATTTGTTTTTCAAATTATAAAGGTAGACAAAAAGTTATGGAAAATAGATGACAATTGAAAGGCAGTGGCGTGGTAATTAAAGCAAAGCAAAACTTGAGTTGATAAAAGCAGCAATAACCAAATATTCATAAAGAAACGTGTGGACAATGAACGGTGATGTCTTTGTGAATGATGGCGGTAGAAGAAGGAAAATAATTAAACACAGTGATTTGAACTGAAACATAATGATATTATACGAATAGGCGCGGTGACACAACACAACTGATCTGTTTTTTTTCTTTTTGTAAATACTTTAAATTCTAATAATCTCGTAATTAATAAAAAAATACTCTTGTTACATTTATATATTTATAAACGTACAGATACACAATAGCCGAAATGGAAAATATATCTTGTTATTATCAGAATTTTAGGGGACTGAGAACAAAGTTGAATAATTTCAAATTAAGTACTGAAGGAGAAAACTATGACCTAATACTGGGGACAAAAACATGGTTGAATGCATCAATATACAGTTCTGAATTCATTAACTGTAACAGGTATGAGATAGTTAGATGCGATAGTGATCCGCATACAACGAATAAAGACAGGGGAGGAGGAGTTATGATAGGGGTAAGTAAAAAAATTAAAATTTTAGACTGGGTGAAAAAAGAAAGTGATTTCGACGCTCTGTATGTTAAAGTGAGGTTGAGAAAAATAGTAATCCCTCTTTTTGTAGTTTATTTTCCTCCGAAATCAGCTGTTGAAAATTCCAATTTTTTTTCATTTTTATGAACAAATGGTCGAAGATAAAAGAAATGTGTACGTCGCTGGTGACTTCAACCTACCAAATTTGACATCCCAGTTAACGGTGCGAACAAGCTTGGATGACAGACATTTGACTTTTTTAGACTTCACGGACTTAAATGCTTTGGAACGAATGAATGAAGTTCTCAATAATAATAATCGAAAACTTGATCTTGTGCTAACAGCTAATGAAAATTGCGAGTTTCCACAAGTATCTAGATCTGACTTTCCATAGATAGAAGAGGATGCAAACCACCCTGCATTATTAATTGATATTGAACTAGAAAATAGTGAGAGTAATAGGGAGAATACCTTCTTTGGAACAGAAACTGTATATAATTTTCAAAGGTGTGATTTCTTACAGCTTTCGTATGAAATCAGAGATATTGAGTGGACCGCATTGTTTGAAATAGAAAATGTTAATGACGCGGTAAATTTTTTCTATAGTAAAATATATTTAAAGTTTTCAATCAATTAGTACCTCGAGTGAAAAATAAAAAAAGAAAGTTTCCTGTTTGGTTTACCTAAGAAGTAAAAAAAAATTTGAAACGGAAAAATAACTGAGAAAGTTGAAAAATCCAACTATTATATGCAGCTATATGTTGAGGAGAGACGAACATTGAGAAAACTAATTGATAGGTGCTATAAAGGATACATAAAAAATATAGAAAATGCCTTTAATAACAATTCAAAACACTTATGGTCATATACGAAAAGCAACAAAAAAACTAATAATTCTTCCCTCATACTCAAGCTACAGGGCTCCCAAGTGAAAGAAAGTGACTCTGCAGATTCTTTTGGCAAATATTTTCAATCTGTCTACAGTAATGACCAGGCGACTTATAGCATAAACTTTGCAGGTGATGTTGAAACCCGTCTCACAATCGATGAAGTAACCGACAGCGATTATTTTGAAGCTTTAAAGAAACTTAAGCCAAAAAAATCTGCAGGAAGTGATAAAATACCACCATATATTATTAAAGGATGTGGAGTATGGCTAAAACAACCTCTTCTTTATATCTATAATTCATCAATGAAATCAAATACGTTTCCAGACTTATGGAAGGAAGCATTAGTGACACCTATCCATAAGTCTGGCAGGGTTTCTGATATTGAAAACTGTAGGCCAATAGGAGTGCTGTGTGCTATTGCGAAACTGTTTGAACAGATCATCTACATAAAAGTGTTAAGGGGTTTTGGCGAAAACATTTGTGATGAACAGCACGGATTTGTTCCAAAAAAGTCGACGTCAACAAATCTACTAACATTCACTAATCATGTCCTCAACCATCTAGATAACAATAAACAGGTTGATATTATTTATACAGATTTTCAAAAAGCATTCGATAAAGTTAATCATGATGTGATACTGGAAAAGTTACATAGAAATGGCGCTGATACCCAAACACTCAAATTGCTGGCATCGTATTTGAATAACCGACACTTCAGAGTCAAATATGAAGGTAATTGTACAGGGAAATTTCGCGCAAACTCTGGACTTCCTCAAGGATCAAACTTGGGTCCATTGATTTTTCTTAAATTCATTAATAATCTAACTCAGAATATAATGTACTCTGAGTGTCTCTTATTCGCAGATGACCTTAAATTTTATAGACAGATCGAAAACTTACAAGATTGTGTCAAACTACAAGAGGACATCAATAGTGTGAAAAATTATGGAGTATGAAAAATGATCTTCCGTTCAATATATCCAAATGTTCTGTCCTGTCTTATACCCGAAAACTAAATAAGATATTATACAATTACTTAATGAAAATACAGTTTATAATTTATGACATTAAAAATAAAATAAATACAACAATAAAAATTAATTGGCGCTCCGGGGCGACTTCATTAAGCAACTAACGCTTAATTTATTTCCACTATTCGAATTCCTTGCTTAACCACTCGATTCACTTTCTAAATTCAACTGCCCTCTCTAGACGAGAGCCAGCTTTATATATCGGTAGAGATCCATGATAGAATTCTGTAGTCTGTTCGGTACTTGCCTAGAATTATCCCGGCGGTGTCAGACTGCATTCTTTCGCGGTGAGTCATGTATTTATTTGATGAATCGGCTAGCGTATGGGTCTGGGGCGGCTGCACTGTGAAGTTCGATGGAAGTACCACTACACAGTCTTCATGCTCAGTCGTGGAAGATGATGCCGCTGGATCTGAATATGGTTTCCAACATGCTTCTCACAATTCTCCAATCCAGTTAGTCGAGCCCATAGGCTAATTTCGGGATTGCCAAGTCCACGAGATTCTGGTCGAGCATCTTGTTCCTCAGTCTGGTGAGACTCCTCCAGACATCTTCATTGGACGGTTTGTCTCATGAATGCTTTTTGGTCATCAAGTAGGAAATGTTTCTCTGACCCTTCTTCAACTGTAGGATTCTGTTCTCGTACTGTTTGGAGCTGGGATATCGCTGTTGAATACCACAGCGATACCCTTGGACATTTGGAGATCCTCTGCCACGCAGTGAGCTGGTACGTATTTAACAGGAACCTTGAAAAGGTCTCGTGGCTCTTGAGTTACCCCATGTACGACCTTCTGTCCATTCGAGTATAATGACATGAAATTCTGGAACGACATTTCATCCTCTGGTGGTCTGAGGACGCGAACTCGGTCGTGATTTCCAGCTCAAGAAGCCAATCTATTAAAATGGACTATCCTAGGCTTTCCTCGAGGTGGTTTATGGATTTGGTAGACGAGGTCATTAATCTTTTTCCTGATTTTGTACAGACCTTTCCACGAGTTCCGCAATTTCGGTGATAAACCACGGCGTCGCTTAGGGTTATACAGCCAAACTAGGTCACCGGTGTCGAATCCTCCAGGGATTCTCCTGATTTCTGGCACCGGTTCTTCAGCTGTGAATGGTAAACGTGCTATAGGTGTGCCTGTCCATACCGTAGCTCAAGATGTTTTATAAGTTGGTCATAGTCTTCCTATTCTTGGGCCGTGAGGGTTTGCAAAATATTCGTTGCTTCTCCACACAACGCCAGTGTTAATGCAATCGCCTTTTCTCCTACATTCCATCCATTCGCTCTGGCCGCAGCTTCGAATTGTCGGCGGTAATTTGCCCAAGGAGTTTTTCCGTCGAACTAGGGCGGTTTCATGGAGAGCTTTCCTGGTTCAGAATTGACATTGACATCTTTCAGTTCCGGAATGGAGTTTTTGGTAACCGTTTCTGTGGGGTGGGCAGAATTAACGATTTGATTTCACAAATTGGTAATTGTTTCTTTCATCTTGCTGATTTCTGCCTGAACTCTGCCTTTGATTTCCTCTACTTCTGTGTTCATTTCCTTCCTGCATTTATCTATTTTTGTCTCGATGGTTCCTATCCTTTCTTCGAGTAGACTCGCCACATCACAAAGTTCTTTCTTTAAGCCTTCTGCATTTTCTAGAAGTTCTTCCTTCAAACTATTCGAATTCTCTAGAAATTTATCTTCCAAAATTTTCGAATTTTCCAGAAGCTTGTCTTCCAAACACTTCGAGTTTTCCAGAAGTTTCTCCTCCAAGCACTTCGAATTTTGTTGAAGTTCATCTTTTAAACTCTTTGAATTTTGTTAAAGTTCATCTTTTAAACTCACCGAACTTTGTTGAAGTTCATTTAGTTTGCTCATTATTGAACTCAAATCACCCCCAGAAACTTCGAATAAATATGCTTCGGGATCTTCTCTTGATTCAATCAAGTTATCCCATAGTCTCTTCTGGAGTACTGATTTCTTTCCGGAAGAATCTAGCTCTCTCTCCTCCAATTCTTGCTTCAATTCGGAAAAAATAAATTGAATATGGTGAATTGCGACGCTGACTCACAATCTGAAGCATTTCGATGTGATGTCAAATATAGATAGACTGGATTGTACTTTGGGTAATAATTTTCCAACACCCGAATTTATGACGGAAAGAAATAGAAGGGTTTTATTGGTATTCGAGCAAAAATAGCGAGGCATATAAGTACCCTGTTTGGGGATGGCTTCATAATCAAACTAACCATAGAATGCAAATAAAAATAATTGCACAAATACAAACTTTTCAACTCACCTCATTCCTGGTCACTGTACACACCAAACACAAAATTATCAAACTGCCAATTTTTGTTAATGGTGTAAAAAAAGCGGAAATACTAAATTTCAGATCATAAACTCCCATTATAATCTTTTGAGAATTCACCATGAAAAAATATGCAGAGCTCATGAACTCCACAAACGTGATTCCAATCAAAACCAGTAGGGGAAAAGCGAATACTCTGTTCAACTTCACGCAAATGGAGCACAACTTCCAATGCAGTTTCCTCAATTTTTTTAGTTTTTTCGTGACGTCGTTAGAACAGTTGATTCGTCTTCTGCGGTTGATGTGTTTATCTTGAGTTAAACTATTCAGCTCTTGGTTGACAATTTTGATTCTTGATTTTACCAGCAACAGGTAAGTCTCAAATAAACCTAGCTCCAAGGATTCTATTGTAGATGAAAAGTGAAGTTCAAAGATGTCAAACTTTTGGAAGATCTGGCTTGGAGGTACCAAATATCCTGAAATTGTTCGTGTTACCAAGGCCATCATTCCAATACCTGAAAAAAGTTTATTTAATCCAAAACTATTCTGCAGACTGCGGACTGATTTTCATCAGACATTCAATTTATCGCAATAGTAAATCAATTCTGAATTGTATTACTTCGAAAAATTCGAAGATTCCGTATAGAAGATTAACTAATTGTCAATTGTCTGAGAAATACAGGAAATCTAATTCTAAATACATTCTTGTTGAATAATGATTCGACGTTGCTAGTCTCTCGGTATTTTCGAAATGGATCCTGTGTTCCCCAACGGACAGTGCATGTTTAGCGACTGCAGACTTCTTGGTCTGTTCCATCTGTGTCACAAGCGAACGGCTACGACAGAAAAGACATAATCCGTGCTACGCGTCCAAGGGAGAAGAAGAGAAACACCACAGAAGATCAATCCCAAGGCATTGTCCATGTACCATATGTAGAAGGTGTCACCAACCGAATCGCGAAAATTCTAAAGAAGGAGAAAATTAACACCGTCTTCATACTAACGAAGAAAATATCGGAGTACCTATCTGAGATCAGCAAAAGACAGCAGATGTCCATTGAAATTAGCGGGAGCTTACTGGATTCCATATAACTGTGGTAAATTTTATATCGGTCAGACGAAAAGACGCGTTGGTATAGTCTATCCATTCCTAATTGCTGGAACGGCAATAAAAATAAGAGTACAGTCATAAACATTTCTTGCCTGTGGCCCCTAGACGCCCAGATAGTTAGTAAACGTGCTATCAAATGTAGTTGAGGAGTGAAGGCTCGGCTAGCTGGACTGGCTGAATACTAATTTTTTTCCGTTTCACAATATTTCTTCATCAGTGCCGTGTGTTCGTGGGGTTAGGTGAGGTAGTGAGAGGTTTTGCAAACCGATTTTTGAAAACTTTCTCTAGAGATCAATTACCCTAACACCAAACTGATATTTTGGCACTCGACGCGCGTTTCGCTAACAAGGTTAGCATCTTCAGGAGAAGCAAATTGATACTGAATCTAAAGACAAGGGTTAGCTGTCTATATACTTAAAGTTTTTTGGTCCGATGTGGACAAACTTTGTTTGTTAAATGATGATTGTCCTAATTGATTTTTCGGTAATTAACTAGTGGAACCACTACTTGCAAATTAATTTGTCAACAATAGATTAAAAAGCGGACAAACTTGGTTTGACACCCATGATGTTTTCAAAAATCGCTGGGTAGATGAAACCAAGTATTGTGCTTTGAACACACCTTCTTCAAGGAAAAAACGTGTTATAATTTTGCATGCCGTGAATGAAAGTGGTTTCGTACCTAACGCTTTGCTTCTGTCGGCAAAAAATATGAAAGATTCGTCTACTGATTACCACGAAGATATGACTGCGGCTTTATTCGAAACCTGGTTCAGTGAGCAGCTTCTTCCAAATATTCCTCCAAACTCGGTTATTATTATGGATAACACTTCGAATAATTCTCGGTTATTGACTACAATACCAAATAATAACACAAAAAAAGCAGATATTGTTGATTTCATGCGAAATCATGATATGGAAATACCCGAAAAGATTCCAACAAAAAAGGTATTACTGGCGACCATAAAACAACGTAATTTCAAAAAAGAGTATATTATTGATTCGATGTGTGAAACCCGTGGTCATATTCTCTTACGTTTGCCTCCATACTATTGTGTGTTCAATACAATTGAAATGGTTTGGGCCACAATGAAAGAAAGCTTGCGGAAGTGTAATCAGTCACCGACTTTGAATGCTGTGGTGCTTGACAATATAAGGCGAGTGGTGAATGAAGTAGGTAATAGTGATGAGTGGAAGAAGTGTGTGGCCCACGTTATAAAAGAAGAGAACAAATATTATGTGCAAAGTTCCATAAATCCGATCGTTATTCAACCCGATGATGAATCCACCTCATCCGAATATAGCGAAGAAGAATTTTAATTTTTCAAGCAATTTTGTTGGCCTCTATCATATTGTAAATATATGTTTGACGAAAATTCGGTGTGATTATTCGTGTTTTCATTGTATTTTAGAGTTTTCGACTCGGAAATCAACTA